TTATGGCAAGAGTGAAGGTGACACACACATTTGGAAATTTACCTAATTCATCTTGCATCTGGCCTGAGTTGACGTGAAGTCCTGCCTGCTGCACCATGGCATGAAACAATGTGGGCTCCACCTCGGTGCCACCAGTTGTCCTGTGGTTGTTAGCACCATGTCTTAAGCGTTTGGCTGAACAACAAAAATAATGGTGAATACATATAGCATATAATATAATGGCAGGTGACCTTCAACTGCAGTTTGATGAACTTGTAAGGGGTCTTGTAGCAAACTTGTAAGTTTGCTATGTGGAGAAAGAGGCTACATGTGACTCAAAACTTAATGACAGCCCTGATTCATACCCCATTACACTGATTACAGGTATTTGAACCCCTCCACCTTACCAATAGAAGTTTCAACATATACCATAAATAATATCCTAAATGGCCCCTCCACAAACCCACACCAATTATTTTAAGATAAGTTTTTCCTACAAGGGTGCTATGTTGTGGAACAGCCATTCTCATTAACTCTGATCTACTGTTTCCTGAAATGAATTTAAAGGTAAACCACATCATACAGCTTTGAATGAGACACGGCATCCTTGAAAAGCAGCTTTAGTAATATGATAGGTTTTTATTCTTATACTACTATATTAATTATTAGTTAATTTAGTTAGGCAGACTTAGATATTATACTTTTAAATTATGCTCAAGGAATTTTTACTGTGTATAAATAAAGTTATTAACTCAACTCAACTCAACTCAACTCAACTTTTGGTCAGCAACCAAGAATTGAGAACCTCCTAATTAAGGTTAGTTTGTTTCGCTGGCTTTGTCACTAACTTTTTGATAAACAATAATTATTATTTGAACAGAGGATAGGCACTAGTCATAAGACAAAAGCAATGCAGGCAGCAAGTAAGTGAATGTGGACAAAATTCAAATAAAAGGAAGTAACCATGTCAACCTCCCACGGGTCACCTCCCCCTGGCACCTGTCATGCTGATCTCTCCACAGCAGGGAATAACCTGAACACAGGCCAGGGACCAAGGTCTAAACACAGCAAAGCTACTCAAAGCAAAACCACAAGGGCAAATATACCCAGCAATGACTCAAATGCAAGTGCACAAGTCAATTACCAGCTGGCCATCAACAAATCTCCCAGTTAACTAAATATATTTATCGATCTGATAATCTCATTTTGAAAGTAGGTTCCAGAAATTTTTAGGTGTCTTCAATCTTGCTTGTATCCTCCAGGGGTAGTTCTTCTTGCCTTTTTACTTGACGCCAAACTCCAGCTATACAACAAACACTTAGGCTGTATTTACACTTAGTGCCTAAGCATCGGTACACAATAGTGTTGCATTCAGATACTTGGTACTCCAAGTACTTGAGTGCGATTAGTGTGCAGGTACAAGGTCAAGACTTTTTACCCAAGGAGCATGGGCACTATGCCCAAATTTTGGTGTGAGAACTTGGAAGAAAGGTGTTCACATTAGTGCCAAGCAACAATAGTACTCGGGCACCATGCTCAGGCACCAAGTGTGAACATTATCTTAAAGGGGATCCTTCTTAACTACCAGTTGGTCATAAATTTGTTACTAAGGGAGGTTTCTAACGGTCATATTTTGAAAGCAAGACCTCCTAAGGATACGGTTTTTGAACAGGTTTGTTCTACTGAAGACTCTTGCAAAAGTTTAAAATGATGGCCATATTTGACCAATCACATGACCACAATAGAAAAAGCTTAAAAGGAATGTAATTCCGAAAGTTCAAATTAGCATCAACTCAATACATTAAGAATGTCTATGTGCTTAATGCTACACAAGGATTTTATGAAACTGGCATTATCATAAAAGTTATAAGGTAGTAAACACCCGTATTAACATACTTTCCACAGTAGCTTTCCTTTTTTAGATGTAAACAGTAATTCCATACATGTGATTATATAGAAGGCTAAGATATGTCTGATTCATAAGAAAAATCGGAATTCTTCCTCTTTTCTTCCAAGTTTTAGGGATTTAAAATTTTAACA